GTATAGTTGGGCTCGGTTGTCCCCCATTGTCGCAAGGGTGGGTACCATGGAAAAGGCCAAAAAAACGCCTTTGCTCAATTCTTCGGACGATTTGATATATCTAGTCGGAGCCCAAGAAGGTTACTAAGTTACAATTTCCAAACTAGTGAATACTTACAATTAAGCGCTCGAGAAGTGCGTAATAGAATTGTAAAAGACAATCAAGGAGTGAAGAGCTCTAATGCAACGTGATAATATTAGGGTCTTCGTTAATTTGGAAACTACCACCGAAGGATTAATTAGGGTACTCCGGTATACATAAATTTTAAACTCAGACAAGGGAACATTATAATTTTGACCTTAATAAGTAAAACGATTTCGCATCTTGACTGGCTCTAATCCCCATGGGATACCGAACAAACATTATGATTCACTCCCTACATCGAGAATTATCTGTTGCTACTATTGGCTCGTCTAGAGTGGCCTGGCTAAATTCGCATTTCTGCAACTTTTGTTTAAAAGTAAGCTCTACTCAGCACGACTCAAAAAAATGGCAAATTGGCCGTCAAATTGGCAATTATTGGCTTCTCCATTTTGGAACCTATCTCCTCAAACACTGGTCTTACCTTATCGGAGAGTATTATTTAATAGCGTTCAATCACCTGAAATATGCAAAAGGACATAACTCTTGTGGGTAAAACGAATTTAATAGCACGTATTTCGACAAAGTTTCACATTTGGTGTAAATTCGTCAGATATATTTAAATGAAAAGGTAGTTTTACATCTTTTTGAAATTGCATCATGAGGTTAGGATTCGCTCGGTTATGATGCCATGATATGAAAAGTAACCGTAATTACCGTATTTAAAATAGGAAGACTTAATTTGTTGCAAACATGATGAAACTCTTGTTAATAGATTTAAATTTTGGTAAAGCCTGATTGACATTATAACACCTGTTTGAAGAAATTTAGCTCTAATCGATTACTGATTCTCACTTATCAAACTTTTAGTAATCTGAAGTTGCCTCGAAATGTTTGCAGTTGGGTTTCTGCTATCTGACCACCTATTTGGCGGGACACCCTGCCCCTCTCCAATACCCCATATCCTCTTTTCCATCCATGTACCCGACTGGATCAGGCATGTATTAGAGCAACTTTGATGGGTCGTGCTATATGGGTTTCCATGGGGGTCACGAAAAATGGCCCAAGGAATAACTAGGCCTTGGCTGCATCAAGCATTATTTTCCCAATCAATACCAATCATCACGGAAATATTCTTTATTGACTATTTGAATTAGGTAGAAACACTCAATACCTATTATCACAAAAATATTCTTTATGAGAATTTGAATTAGGTAGAAAAGGAACTTGATAAAGAAAATTCTAGTGGCAAACATCATAAAATATTTCCAATGGACTGCAATTAAGTAGTTGTTACGTGACAGCCATATAGAAAACTTTGAAAAATACCATGGTATTAAAATTCAAATATCATTTTTCGCCGATCAACAACCAAATGTATCCTTACCTCTAAAAGTGTGAAACAAAACTATAGTGAATACAATATGCTAATTTTGATGATACAAAAGTCAATTTTTTTTTCCCACTTTTGATGTTAATTTTTTACAATTTTTTACAAATGCCAGTATAACTAGTTTTTGCTAGAATCCTGTTTTTTTTTTGGCAAGGACTAAAAGGTTAAATTTGAATCTGAGGTATTGTTTTTACGAACAAGTACTCCTAGAAAAAGTTGACAATGAAATTATTCTATACTAGATATTTTCATAAGAATCATCTTAGGATGTTAAATCCAAGCTTGTGGCCTTGTTTTTTACCTCCCTCTCCTCAATTAATCTATTATTTAGTTTAATAGAGATGTCTTCTTGGAGCATAGATTGGCAAAAAATTCATTATGATCTAGAGTGAAGGCTAATTATTTGATAATTTGTTTACATATTCCAATGAAATATAACTCTAAATAAAAGATTAAAGCATCTGAAGACGTATTTACTAATGTAGATGTTTTAGGAATTTGATCCGAGGTAAGTATCTTCTAAGAGTAGGGAGACTTGGTGATATTGTTCTAAATAGCGAATAATTATTAGGATTGATGGGGCTGGGGAGGGGAATGTTGTGGAGGAGTGTGTAGATACAGGTGGCACACTCTATGGTTTCGCTGACTATTTCCATGATAAATTGTGAGTACTGACTCAATAGGAGGAAAAAAATGTCTGGATTTTCAGTCCAAGAGAGAGGAGAGAGAGAGAGAGGAGAGAGAGACAGGAGAGAGAGAGAGACAGGGAGAGGGAGAGAGAGATATATATATAAAGAGCCGAAAGTGTCAAGTTATAAATAAACTCAAAACTTATTCATGGTAACTGCCCTTAATTTAGTAAATAGGATAACCATACTAGGCATTTGTCAAAATTATCAATATATTCAGATTAGTTGATTTTCTTCCTTGGTTTGTCAATATCAGAAAAATAGAGAGAGTGCCTCAAAAATATGAGGCCGGTCCATAGAAATCATTGTATGTACAGGACCGTTACACATGCCAACATATGAATGGTTCCTTGATTTCATGTACAGGACCGTTAGACATGCCAAAACAGGGAGAACTCAAGGCTTCAATCATTAAATCAAATCAAATCATTATTAGTCATATAAGCTATTTATAAGAGTGGTTCCTTGCTAGCCATTTACTCTTTCCCTACTATCTTTTAATATGTTCTCTCGTGAGACATGCAAACATATTTCACCTTATTCAAAGGTCCAACGTTAACATGAAAACTTTTACAAGGGTTTTGACTCAATCGGAGCCCCAAGAATTGGTCAAAAGTTGATTCGCAGTGGAACGCTTGTAAAAGATTAAACTTTCGATCATACAGCCTCTAGCTAAGGGAAAGAGAGGAAAAAAGAGATAAAGGATCAGGCGGAATATGAGTCTGAAAACGATATACTATAACCCAAGACCTTTAAACTTGATAATTCCTGCAAACCTACAACATTGTCCAAAAATGTCCGCGGATATTTATATTGAGATTATCTAGCGGTTCCCACAAACTACACAGTCCATATTACGTTGCATTACGTTTATTCGAATTAAGTTAAATTAGCCAGAGTTTTGAAGGCAATTACAATTTTAAATATTCTATAGAGCTCTATATTCAATAATTCTAGGGATAAAATGGACATTCCCAATGCCAGTGAGACTCTTATCCATCTGTTCTCTTCTATCTCTCTCGCACGGTCTAGCCACCAAGGCCTGTCCCACTCCGTCTCCATCCCCTGGGTTTCGCTCTCTCTTGGCATGGCCTATATTCGCTGCGTGGATTGCCTTTCTTCCTATACTTTGCGGCATCAATGCCTCAGCAAGAAACATTATTAACTGGTTTTTGGGTCTTTTTTAAAAGTTTAACGGAACGATGTATAATGCCTGAGGCATATCCATATCGTTCAAATCAAACTTCAAGGGATTTCTAAACAACGAATGCATCTGCAGTTTTCGCGGAGGGGGGGAGGTTTACGAGATACTAGGATATATTGCAATTTATATCAAATTCGGAAATCTGGGGACTGGAAAATTTAACTGAAAACAAGACCTCGTAAAGGAATGACGCAATTGACCCACGCCGATAGTCCTCAACCCGCCGTCTGTAATCATCTTTGTCTCCACGTGCACTGCCGCCGCCTGGCGCGAGCTGCGGGCACTGTGGCTCACCAGGCAGCGTGGTGGAGAACGGCGGCCGTCGGTTTCTGGAGAGCATCCCGAGGGCCACCCCATGTCGCTTCTCTCAAAAAGAAAGGATGGGAGACTTTAGGGCGGCTCCCCACCCTTTTGTCCGGTTGCGCCGCCGGGTCCGCACTGGTCAGATGGTAGTAATGACGGGAGGGATCGCGACGGGCCGGGGAATAGAGTCAACGGTCACTTGCCTTCTTGTGGACATCACTGGTTCTCCCTTTTCGTATTCAGGATTTTTAATCTTTTGTCTTCCATCATGTGTGGGGGCGTGTGGAAGGCATCTATCGCACACGGATTCTGTGCCGTAGAAATCGATAAGGTTTTAAATTTTTACTGAACCCCGGGCATAGAAACTGCCTCTGGGTTGATCCGGATAGAGAGAGGAGGGGAAAGCGAGAGAGAGAGAGAGAGAGAGAGAGAGAGAGAGAGAGCAAGTCCATCTCGGCTCAAATAGTCAAGCGCTGGGCAAATTTCCTGTTTTCAGGCTTCAAGATTTGTTGTCACTGATTTCATTTTGTGTGCATATAATGGAGTTGATTGTTTACAGCATCTCACGATCTTTTTGATGTCAACTTGATTCTGATGTCACAAAACTCTGCGAAAATTGGATTTTGATTCGGGGGGCAGTCGATCGTTCACACTTGGACCACCAACATCCAGCGGTCGCGTCACGGTGCGTCATCATATTCCGCTTCGAGGAAACAGAGGGGAGACGCTAGCAAGTCGAGGGGACGGCGCGTCCGTCTCGCTGACGTGTGCGCGAAGATTCGCCACCGATAGGAGACGTGAGGGCGGCGGGTCCCGCGGAAGGAAACGTGAGGGGAAGGTTCTCATTTCTGGCGTCATCTTGGCGGCGACGGGGATTGAACGGGGGGGTTGAAAAGGCGCATCCGGTGCCCCTTTGTACCGCACGGATCAATCTGTAAATCGTACATGAGAATTTGGAGTACAGAAGCCCGCCTACGGCTGGAGTTGGCCTGAAACTTCTCACCGTTCATGGACGCTATAGTGGGTGGGGGCAATGTGGAGGAGTTCGAAGTTGCGTGGATCGGAGAAAGGGTATAAAGGCGCGAGTTTGAAGACATTCTGAGTTTCAGGGGTAGCCGAGGTTGAAGAAGATCTGGGCTGGAAGGGCATTTGAGGTGGTCGTAGAGAAGAAAGATTTCGTAGCGAATTGACCCCCGTGGGAGATTCCGCGATCTTCTTCCCCTGACTAGATTCTCTGAGCGAAGGCAAGGCCGGAGGAAAGTTTGTCAGTCCAAATTGACGCTTCTGAAGATGGTAGAGCATGACGAGGAAGAGGGGGAGATCCAGGGAGGGCACGACCCCGAAGAACTGGAACCGATGTGGTCGTCGGAGAGGATCCCGTCATGGTCGGAGCAGCTGACGGTACGGGGGCTCGTGGCAAGCCTTATCATCGGGATGATTTACAGCGTTATAGTGATGAAGCTGAACCTCACCACGGGGCTGGTGCCCACGCTCAACGTCTCTGCTGCCCTCCTCGCATTCGTCTTCGTGCGGACCTGGACGAAGCTACTCCACAGCGCCGGGATCGTGTCAACCCCCTTCACCCGCCAGGAGAACACTGTCATCCAGACCTGTGCCGTTGCCTGTTACAGCGTCGCTGTCGGAGGTAAGGAGAAATCCCTGAAATCTCTGCCTTCCACCCCAGGGCAGAGCCGAATTCCTCTCTTACAATGGAGCTCTTGAGGCAGGGGGGTTTGGGTCGTACTTGTTGGGGCTGAACAAGAAGACTTATGAGCAAGCGGGGGTGGACACGGAGGGGAATTCGCCAGGGAGCTACAAGGAGCCTGGGATCGGCTGGATGACCGGGTTTCTGTTCATCGTCAGCTTCGTCGGGCTCCTGGCCCTGGTTCCTCTCAGGAAGGTGAAGCCGCTTTCCCCCTTCTCCCTTCGAGTTAGACAAATCGTCCATTAAATTCTTCATTAATACTGGGAATCTTATTCCTCTGTAGATCATGATCATCGACTACAAGCTCACTTATCCCAGCGGCACAGCCACCGCCGTCCTCATCAATGGCTTCCACACCCCTCGCGGGGACAAGATGGCAAGGTTCTGACATCGATGGCATCCTCTTTTTCGGGAACAGAGACCTCCACCTTCATGTTATTGGATTCTGCTGCTTTTCCAGGAAGCAAGTCCGCGGGTTCACGAAGTTCTTCACCCTCAGCTTCCTGTGGAGCTTCTTCCAGTGGTTCTACGCGGGGGGAGATGTCTGCGGGTTCTCTCAGTTTCCCACTTTTGGCCTACAAGCATGGAAGCAGACGTAGGCCCACCCCCCGTGAATTAATCACATCTCTCTGTCTCTTGGTATTTTTCTTTCATATCTGATCGGACCCCTTGGTTTCCGCAGGTTTTTTTTCGATTTCAGCATGACCTACGTCGGCGCCGGAATGATCTGTTCCCACCTCGTGAACATCTCCCTCCTCATTGGAGCTGTCCTCTCATGGGGCATAATGTGGCCGCTCATAAGAGACCTGAAGGGCGACTGGTACCCCGGTACTCTGCCAGAGGGCAGCATGAAAAGCTTGCAGGGATACAAGGTACGAGATTATCGCTTCAATTCAATCCATTCCATTTGTATCGAATTAGAAGGTCCAACTCGTCATGCTTACGATGGCTGCGCAGGTCTTCATTTCGATCGCTCTGATCCTCGGCGATGGGCTCTACAACTTCGTCAAGATTCTGGGTTGCACGGCTAGAAGCATCCATAGCAGACACAGGGCGACGGGACACAAGATCGGTAAGAAAGGCCCGAATCGTTCAATTGAGTTGACAGAATGCTATAACCGTGGCCGCTGAAGTCCACCTCTCTGTTCAGTGGCAGATAATGGAGTTGTGGCGCTAGATGATCACCAGCGAAATGAATTGTTCATGAAGGAGAGCATCCCAGTGTGGCTGGCCTTTGTTGGGTACATTCTCTTCGCCCTCGGCTCCGTCATCGCCATCCCTCTCATGTTCCCCGAGGTGAAGTGGTACTACGTCGTCATCGCCTACCTGCTCGCGCCGGCCCTCAGCTTCTGCAACGCCTATGGCGCCGGCCTCACAGACATGAACATGGCATACAACTACGGGAAGGTGGCCCTCTTCATCCTTGCCGCTTGGGCGGGGCAGAACAACGGCGTGGTCGCCGGCCTTGTTGGTTGCGGCCTGATAAAGTCTGTCGTCTCCATCTCCGCCGACCTGATGCACGACTTCAAAACGGGGCACCTTACACTCACCTCCCCAAGGTCAATGCTCTTTAGCCAGGCGGTCGGCACTGCCATAGGGTGCGTAGTCGCGCCCCTGGCCTTCTTCCTCTTTTACAAGGCCTTCGACGTGGGCAACCCTGACGGCAGCTTCAAGGCGCCGTACGCGCTGATCTACCGGAACATGGCCATCCTAGGCGTGGAGGGCTTCTCGGCGCTGCCCCGCCACTGCCTCCAACTTTGCTACGGGTTCTTCGGCTTCGCTGTCGCTGCCAACATTGCTCGGGACCTCTCGCCGGAAATTTACGGCAGGTGGATCCCCCTGCCCATGGTCATGGCGGTGCCCTTCTTGGTGGGGGGGAGCTTCGCCATCGACATGTGCGTAGGGAGCCTGGTGGTATTCGGCTGGCACTGGTTTGACAGCAAGAAGGCTACCGTCATAGTGCCGGCTGTAGCCTCGGGTCTTATCTGCGGAGATGGGCTGTGGACTCTCCCTTCATCCCTGCTAGCTTTGGCGAAGATCAATCCCCCTATCTGCATGAAGTTCCTGCCCAGTTAGGGAAGATGGCGCAATCTTCCTTGTTGATGGAAGGATGCGGACCACTATAAGAGAGACAAGCTTAAAAACTTTATAGCGTTTTAGGATAAGATTGGTTCTTGCATAAATATGTGTTGAATCGAGGGTCGAAATAGTAAAAAAAGGAAATACTTCATTAACTCTAGGAAAATGAGGTATATAGGTATATATACAATGGGGTTTTGGGTCAGATCCCATTAATGGATCTACTTGACCTAGAACACGGTTCATTATTACTAACATTCCCCCTCAAGCTGCTGAATAGATATCACCTAATCCCAACTTAGATATAAGTCTAAGAAAGATTAGTCCACTCAAGCCATTGGCCAATACATCACTAAGTTGATCATGAGTGGAAATATATAGTGTACACATGATTCCTTGATCAAACTTCTCGATGAATTCTCAGTCAATCTTTGTGCTTCATATGATTGTGCTAGATCAGATTATGCATGATATTTATTGTTGATCTGTTGTCATAGTATAGTTAGATTGACTCACTTCATTTTAATATTCAGACCTTTCAAGGTTCCTTTCACCTATATTGATTCCCAAATTTATTGTGCAATCACTCAAAATTCTGACTTTGTATTGGACCTTGTCACGACATGTTGTTTCTTAATTTGTTAACTGATGAGATTACTACCTAAAAAGCTATGGTAACTTGAGGTAGATCTTCAGTCAATAATAAAACTTGCATAATCAGTGTCACTATATACTTGTATATCTAATTTATTTTATTTGTTGTATAAAATACCTTTCTTGAGTGTCTTTTAGATATTGAAGAACTCTTTCAATAACAAGCAATTGAGATTGTAGATTACATGAGTTGACTAAGTACTCTAACAACATATGATGTATCAGGTGTAGTGTGAGAAAGATATATTAATTTTTCCACTATTATTTAGTATCCAAGTACATTTATCTTGTTACTTTCTTTGGCGTTGCTAAGTTAATGATTGTGATCTATTTGTGTATGTATAGGTTTACATCTACTTGTAATAGATCTAAAATATATTTATATTTTTAAATTAATATACCATATTTAGAGTAAGCTACTTCTATTCCTAAGAAATATCTTAATTTTTCTAGTGTTTTAATGTCAAACTGCTTTAATTGATTTTCTCTCAAAGATGCTCTTTCACATTTCTCATTTCTAGTCATTATTATATCGTCTACATATATTAGGAGATTGTATTTCTTCATGATGTTGAGTACTTGATGAATAATATGTGATCTCTGTTAGATGGTTTAAATCCTAACTCACATATTACTTTAGACAAAATTTCAAACCAAGTATTAGGTGACTACTTAAGTCCATATAATGACTTCTTTACTTACATACTACACCTCTCTCTATTTCTTATTATATCCATGAGGGACATATATATATATGTATAGGTTTTCTTCTAAATCTCTATATAAGTATACAATCTTCACATCAAATTGTTGAATGTCTCATTCATAATTTACTGCTAATGAAAGCAAAGTTCTAATTGTATTCATTTTTACAATCAGAATAAAAGTTATAGAGAATTCATTATATAGGTTCGAGTGTATTTCTTAGCCATTAACTAAGCTTTATATCTCTCTATTATATGATCTATGTCATATTTGATTGTATGGATCCACTTACGCCCCATGATTTTTTTCCCTAGTGATACCTTTGCTAATTTCTATGTATAATTTTTTTCTAAGGCCCTTAATTCTTTCTCCATAGCTTGTCTCCATTCATCTTAACTTAATGTTTCTGATTCTTTAGATGGATTTGTTTTAGAATTGAGTACTGAGAAAAGTTTTATATGAGGGTGATATGAAATTAGAAATAGGATATCGTGGGTTTCAAATACACTTTCTCTTTCCTTCCTCAAGAGTTATGGGTAATTCCTTTATTCTCATTATTTTTAATCTCCTCATAGGTTGATCATGGTCAAGATGATCTATGGGGTCAGATTGATCATCATTCTCTTGTGGTATTATTCTTGTTTTTTTGGATGGCATGGGTATGTCTAGAGGTGTATTTAGTAATACAAACTTTCTCCCATGAAGATTTTTTCCCTCCATATTATTGTGAGTGATTTCCCCCTTAAGAGAAATCATATCAAAATAAGCTTCATGTTCATGAAAGGTTACATCCTTAAAAACAAAAAATCTCTTCAATAAAGGACAATAACATTTATGCCTTTCTTTTGTATTTGAGTATCTAATTACACACACTTAATTACATGTGGATCAAATTTACTATTAATGGGTTTATGGATATGGACAAAGAAAGGCATTAAGTGTATGCCATGTATTAATAAGGTCTACCTTATTATTTTGTGGGTAGTCTATTAATAAGGTGGATAGCGTGAGTATAACTTCACCTCAAAAGGTTTTAGGTATTTTCATTTGAAAAAGAAGTGATCAAGCCACATTTAATATATCTTAGTTTTTTCTCTTCACAACACCATTTTATTGTGGAGTATTAACACATGATGACTCATGGATAATTACTTCACTTGTAAAGGATCTTGTGATAATATGATTAAAGAAATCCTTTGCATTGTTTGATCTTAAAGCAATTTATTTTTACTTAAAATTGATTTTTAATGAGTAAAATTATTGTGAAACATTTCTCACCTCCAATTTATAATTTAATACATAAATCTATATATTTCTCAAGAAATCATTAACAAAAGTGATGAACCATCTAACTCCTAATATCCTAGGAGTAGGTGATGGTGTCCAAACATTACTATTGATAAAAAAGAAGAGAGATGTACTCCTCTCCTAAGAAAATTAATATATAGTTCTTTATACTTTATGGTGTGCACTTGTCATTGTGTTTAAAGACACTATCTAATAATATTTATAACTAAGACTTAATAAAATATTAGTATAGAAGTAAGTCTCAGGTCGAATATAAGGAGACTGATTAATTCATCATGAAAACTAATTTAATTTATATATAAAGTGATTTGAATATTTTATTAATACTTAATAGAAAAAAATAATAAAAGGGCAAGGTGAGAAGAATAAAGGAAGGGATGTGAAGAAAAGAAAAGAGGAAAAGAGAGAGAGAAGAGAGAGAGAAGAAAGAGCTCTCATGAGAGAGAAAGGATGAGATTTCTCGTGAAAGGGAGAGAAAGAGAGAGGAGGAGAGAAATCTTACATGAGATGGAGAGAGAGGGAGAGAAAGGGAGGGATCTCATGAGAAATGGAGAGAGAAGAGAGGTCTCATGAGAGAGGGAGATAGAGAAATAAGACAAAAATGAAGGAAGAGAGAAATACGGCCAACCTGTTTTCTTGGATGAATGTGTGCTCAAGGATTCACATACATGATATGAGGTCAGCAGTGAATGTCTCCAACTTGTTTTAACTATTGAACACTCATTAATTAGCCTTTAATCTCAATAATTTCATGTTCAAAAATAAAAAAATACTCATTATTCGCAGAACACTAGGAACATGAATGTGTCAAGATTCGACTGTGAAAATTAATAGAAAATAAGTTGAAAATAATCTTAACTTGATCTCAAACGAGTTTCAAAGGATTCAAAAGAAGAAGGAAGATCATTCATTAAGTTTTAAATTAGTTTTACTCATTTCAATTGAAATGTGCATGAAATAGAAATAATTTATTGTAAAATATAAATAACTGACAAAAGTAGGTAAGTAAATGTTGAAAGTAGGAAATAAATTATTGCCCAAGTTTAGTTACCTCTTGGGCAACTAGAGACACTAGTGTGGTGGCTTGGTTTCATCTGATCATGTCACACCATGCCAGAAGTCGTAGAAGTATCGTCTGAAAGCATTGCACTACTTACCGAAGAGATCCCTTGAAAGAAGGGTAGACCACACTATCTTCGTTGTCTAAAGGGAGAAGGGAAGACTTGATCATTTGTCGGAGGCCTTGAGTGTAGTTAGGGGAGGAAAGAAGAAGTTTACCAATCACTAGAGACGTCAATCGTGCAAAAAGAGGGAAGAATGGATTGTCATATTTGCAACTACTATCGGGATTTTAAAGATAATTGCTAATATTTGTTTTATCAGAGAATAATTGATTATTGTCTTTATATCTATAATAGTGATATGTGTGAGAACTTAAGTTCTCGATACCATGGTGCCTCCATAGCCATCGGATTGGCTTTTAAGGCCACATGCATGCTGTGCAGCATTGGATTTGCGAATTGCCAATGGATCACTTTACGCATCTAGTATTGTGGTGGTTCACCAGCTGCAAGATCAAGCAAATCAGATGGCGTGGCTCTTTGTGTATTGCTAGATCACACCGTGCTCTAGATGGCTGCATTGAAACAAATGAAAAAATTTGTTTTGGAAATGTTTCGGAACATATGCTGAATATAAGCTAAAGCTATGTCTCTCAGTAGAGATCCCTTCTCCCAAAATAAAATAATGTCTAGGACTATCTTGGGAGAAGGCAATAAGGTGGTCCACTCTCGTATGCACACGTGTGTATGGGCACTCTTTGCCCCACAACTGGTTGGCCACTGGGATGTGGAAGGGGAGCGACACACATGTGCATAGAGCAAGGACTTCACCACTCGATCCCAACTTGTGGCTCCCCCGATTTGGGTCTACCCACTCGATTGTTGTCCCCCCTCTAGGTTAACTATTGAGTGCTAGCTTGCTAGTGGGCAGAAGAATTTTTATATTTTATTATTCTTACTTTAATAATAAAAAATTATGTTAAGTATTCTAACTTCAGACTTTTAAAATTAATAATATATCCTATATTTATTCTACAAGTTAACAAAATAAAATCAAATAATAACACTAATTAAAACACATAAATCTAGCTTGAACACTTTATAATCTCACACATCACATTTCAGTTCTTCTAAATTTATATTCAAAATAAGTTTGAAAAATATAAACTTTATTATTATAAAGGGCTGACATCTTAAATGGTGATGATACAACCAAAAAACATCATTCTTAGCTAACATAGAAGTCATGTCTTAAATGATCTCTTAGCTCCACAAGATAATCATTATTTGATGCTCCAAGATAATAGTATCTATCATGATCTTTAGTGTGTGCAATCTTCTTACTTATTACCTTATCACACGCAACACAAATATTATTATCAATTATCCCTCGACATGGTATATCTCTATCTAACCTTGTAACAAAAATAAGGTTAGTAGAGAGCTTAGGAACATATGAGACATTTTTTAGAATACAAATATGATCTAATTTCAATTCTCTAATTTTTATAATAACAATTAATGATCCATCAGTTGTGACTACTTTTGTATTTTTTGGACATTGGTTATATGATAAAAAAGAGTTTGAGCAATGGGTCATGTGGTTAGTGACACTTGTATTTAATGTCTAAGAGGTAAGAAAACTATTAGATGTAACTTACAATATTATTTAGTGAGTTTTCACACCAGAGCAAGCAGAAGAGACATTGGAGCTAAATGTCATGACTGATCTTAGCCTCTCAACTTTAGCACTAATAATTTCCATCTCTTGTTTAGTGCTGACCTCTCGGGATATAGATGCCTCTACATGTTGAGAGTTGGTTGAGTTCATCTGCCCCTACTTGAGTATTAATTAGCTGAGCTTGACCTTCCATTTGAGAGGTGATTAAGTCAGCTTGACCACCAATTTGAGGTCTCTCATGGAGCTTGTAGTAGTGCTCCCTAGTATTCCTTGATTGCCTATAATAAATATATCATATATTATCTAAATAATTACATTTTTTTGACCCTTGTCCTCTATCAATTTTAGGTTGGAGTATATGTGGTGATTTATCATGTTTGGTTGAAGCACAAATGTTAAATTTTGTATGTTTTGTGGTTGTATCATAAGTTTTCTACAACTGTTCTCATTGAGGATGATGTCAATCATTTCTATTTGATTTACTATTTTTTCTCTTCCCAAAATTTGAGCCCTAGTTTAATCATACACATAATTCAATCTCTTTGAAAATTGATAAATCCTATCTTTCTCTATATATTTCTTGAAATATATCTCATCCTTATAACATTTAGTGATAATAAGTCTATAATGATCAATCTCTTGTCATGAGGCTATCAATTCATTTGCATATTTGATAAATTCAAATTTAGGGGTTTTTGTGTTGCTGTTTCAATTCAGATTTAACCAACCTTATTTATAGAAACTTTTCACTTAATTACTCTATATCAGACATGGGGCAAGTAAGGGGTCGATCCATAGAGAGGCAGGAGTTCAATTTCAGATCTTTGAGTCCTAGAGGTGGGAGAAATAGATTTAGAAGTTACGAATTCATTCTTTGAGAGTTTTTTTCAAGATTTTAGGGAGCTTAATAGATTATTTTCAGAATTTTCTATAATTTTACTTAGTGCAGAAAATCCAGCAAAATATTAATTAACATTTTTTTAGTATTTGTCTCTAATTTTAAATTGCCCTCCTTTTTTTAAAATGCAAAAAGAAATCATTAATTTTACCTTGTTTGTAGTTGGTAGTTGACAGCTAAGTGAGCAATCTGGGTAAGGGGTTATGTGGGTCCCCCTTGACTACTTCCGAACTTAACTAAAATTTTGGAATCTCGATTACATCTGTAGGCTGAGAGAGAGAGAGGGTGGCTAGCATGTAGTGACTGTTGGCAGACGCATGGTGGCGAGCAATGGCCACTCGTGTCCTTCACACGTTCAATGGTAGAGAGAGAAGCGGGCAACAACAAAGAGAGAAGGAATGGTGGGTGATGATGTAACTTAGTCGTTGCATAATAAATCATGTAAATTTAAAATTTATAAAACTAGAAAATATAAATTTTTAGATAATTAAAAGTATTTACAAACAAATATATCAGTTATAATTCAATAAAACTTCTAAAAATAGTGATAATTTTTTAGGTCGATCATATAGATGTAATATAATATCAAGTAATTATTTAGAATTTTCTTCAAAGAATACTATTTTCTATAAATTTTACACTAGGAAATGAAAATAAAATATATTTAAAATTCACGAAAAAAAGAAATAAGGGTATAGATGTTAGGATGATGTCAGCGCCTGATGAATGCAAATCGAGTAGAAATAGAGTTTCGCCCGATGATTCTTGTATAAGCAATTATAGACAATTTAATTGATCAAATTAAGATTTATAAAATCCGAAAGAATCGTAATGGAATGAAGTATATCTTGATAAATTTAAATCACACAAATTATCACTTAATGAAGCGAAAAGTAAGTTGAAAGTAGGAAAATAGAGTTTTGACATTGTGAAGATAATGCGTTGGCGATGCACTGAAATCTTGAGCATTCGAGAGGATCATCGTGTAGTGTCCACAGCCTTGAAGGTTGATAAGTCTTCATTATCATTAGTTAATAATTAGTAAATAATATATTTTTAGCTTTAACTCATGATAAATAGACTTATATTTGTGTTAAAGTGTGAAAAGTGGTTTTCAGTTGATTAATGTGAATTTTTAGGTAATTATGTGATTTTACATGAATTTATATGATTTTTACAATCTTACTTTTGTAATAAATAAATAAAAAGAAATAAAAAATAAAAATAAGACAAAACAAGGGGGACGCGCTGGCTAGTCGGGCCTGCAAGCAGGTTAGAAGCTCAATTGGGGAGTAGCCGTGAGCAAGAGCTTGAGCAGCTTGGACCGATAGGGGCACGTGTGCACCACTCCCTTTCCACGTCACCAATGGTCAGCTGGCTAAGGGACTAAACCCACGTCACACCTTCCTCAGAAAGGGTGGGCGACTGGTGCAGGTTCGAATCCTCCTAGAGTCAAGAGTCATATATTTTTATCTGATTATCGCGACTTTCCTGCAGATCGCCGGTGAAGGATTAAGCAACGAGAATCATTGGATCATTAGCAAAAATCTCGTCAACGAGATTCACAGAGAATTGCTACTAAAATTTCTGAATGATTCGCGATAAAAGGATCGCAAATCCATCGAGTAAAAGATCTTTGATTGATCGACGAACAAGCCGTCGTCGGGAAGAGGACGATCCGCCAGGAGATGAGTCGCCACCTCCTGAGAGCGTACCAGATGCGATGAAGAGCCTCCTCTTGCTGCATGGACCTGAGGATGAAGCTCCTTGACACGCGCCCCACCTCCATCCAGCTCCTCTTCATCGGGTGACAGTCGTCGAAGAGCCACAAAGTCGCCATTTTTCCACCTCGCTGGGTGACAGCCGCCAGAGATGATTCGACGACCCACTTCATTGATCTCTAGACTTTGCAAGAAGATCTAGAGATTTCCCACGTCGTCTTTGTCGAAGGAGAGCCTTTGAGGCCGTGGACACTGCTCAATGATCCTCCCGAACGCTCAGGATTCTAGTGCATCGCCGACGCATCGCCGTCGCGACGCCGGAACTCTATTTTCCTACTTTCAATTTACTTTACACTTCATTTAATGATAATTTTTGTGTTTTTAATTTACCAAGATATACTTTGTTCTATTACGATTCTTCCGGCTTTTACAGATCTTAATTTGATCAATTAAATCGTCTGTAATCGCTTATGTAAGAATCGCCAAGTGGAACTCTATTTCTGCCTGATTCGCGTTCGCCAAGCACTGACGTCATCCTGACATCTGCGCCCTTATTTCCTTTTTTTGTGAATTTTAAATATATTTTCTTTTTACTTCCTAGTATAAAATTCATAGAAAATCGTATTCATTGAGAAAAATTCTGAATAATTACAAGATATTATATTACATCCTTGTGATCGACCTAGAAAATTATTGCTATTTCTGAAAGTTTTATTAAATTATAATTGATATATTTATTTAGAAATACTTCTAAATATCTGAAAATTCGTATTTTCTAGTTTTATAAATTTTAGATTTACGTGATTTAATATACAATGACTGAGTCACATTAAACACTACATGACAATCCTCCCGAATACTCAATATTTTAATGCATCGTCGACACATCGCCGTTGTGACGTTAGAACTCTGTTTTCCTACTTTCAACTTACTTTATGCTTCATTTAGTGATAATTTTTGTGATTTTAATTTATCAAAATATATTTTATTCACTTATGATTCTTTTGACTTTTACAGATCTTAATTTGACTAATTAAATCATCTGTAATCGCTTACATAAGAATTGCTCGGTGGAACTCTATTTCCACCCGATTCGCATTCACTGGGCACTGATGTCATCCTAATGTCTGCACCCTTATTTCCCTTTTTCATGAATTTTAAATATATTTCATTTTCATTTCCTAGTATAAAATTCATAGAAAATCGTATTCATTGAGAAAAATGCTGAGTAATTACCAGATATTATATTACATCTTTGTGATTGAACTGGAAAATTACCACTATTTTTTGGAAGTTTTATTGAATTATAATTAATATATTTGTTCAAAAATACTTCTAAATATCTAAAAAATCATATTTTCTAATTTTATAAATTTTATATTTGTGTGATTTACTATATAACGATTAAGTCACGTCAAAGGCTCTTCTTGGACAAGGACGATTGGGTAATCTCTAGATGTCTTTGCAAAGTCTATAGATCAATGAAATAGGTCATTAAATCATCTTTGGTAGCTATCACTTGGTAGAGTGGGAAAATGGCGACTTTGCAGCTCTCCGGTGGCTGTCACCTGATGGAGAAGAATTGGATGAAGGTGGGGTGCATGTCAATGAGCTTCATCCTTAAGTCCGTGCAGTAAGAGGAGGCTCTTCATCACATCTAGTACGCTCTCAAGAGGTGACACTTGTCTCCTGGGGGATCGTCCTCTTCCCGACGATGGCTTGTTCATTGATCAATCGAAGATGTTTTACTCGCTGGATTCATGATCCTTTTATTGCAAATCATTTAGCAATTTTAGTAACAATGTTCAGTGAATCGTGTTGACAAGGTTTTCACCGATGATCCAGCGATTCTAGTTACTTAATCCTTCACCAGCAATTTGTAGGAAAGTTGCAATAATCAGATAAAAAATATGAGTTTTGACTTTGGGAGGATTCGAACCCGCACTAATTGCCCACCCCTTTCTAGGGAAGGTGCGTGCGAGTTTAGTCCCACATCGCTTGTGTGCCAAAGTTCCGGGCAAATATATTGTAATGTTACATTTGAAAGCAAATCTCTTTCCCTTGCATGTACGACCACTCCTTGCCCCATAGCCGACTGGCCACCGGTGACGTGGAAGGGGAGTGGCGCACATGTGCCTTATTAGTCCAAGTTGCTCGAGCACGTACTCGTGGCTACTCCCCGACTGCACTTTCGACTCACTTGTAGGCCCGACTGGCCAGTAGGTCCCCCCCATTTTATCTTATTTTTATTTCTTTTTTTATTTATCTCAAAAGTAAGATTGTAAAAATCATATAAATTCCTATAAAATCATATAATTACCCAAAAAATTCAAGTTAATCAACTGCAAACCACTTTTCACACTTTAACACAAATGTAAGTCTATTTATCATGAGTTAAGGCTAAAACTAAATTATTTACTAATTATTAACTCATGATAATAAATACTTATCAGGCGACAACAAAGGAAAATGTGGAGTGGCTGGAGGAGGTAGAAAAAAATATAGAGCGACGGGAGATGGTGGAAAGAGGAGGGTTTAGAGGTATAGAGAGAAGATTGGTGCTGATGTTCATCCTTTGAGCCCTCAAGATTTCTTTCTCCTCTTAGATCCTTATATTGTGCTAGGATAAGACGTTTTTCACTATAAGAAGGGGGAGAACAAGAGTGAACACTTCAAAACGACTTACATCTATTAGGGTGGATACCTTGGATGTCAAAAAATGTTGTGTCCTGCTAGCTAGCCACTACTAGAGCACATCTAGAATAGGGTGGAAAAGAGAGAGGAAGAGAGTATTTATATATGGGGTATAATTAATAAAACTCCCTCCTATTATTTATCAACTTTTCTCCATGCCATTTCTTCCTTTTTTTTCTGAATAGTTGAGAGCTCTTGTGACTTGAATTTCTTGCTCCTCTTTAAGAAGAAATTTAGAAGGGTTAGTGGATGGAGACAAAACCTGGCCCACATTCCTCTAGCTGATCTTTTAAGCCCAAAACTAGAAATGGTCCATTCTGGTCCAACGAATAAGCTTTAAAATCCCATGGAGAGCTCCAGCCTATTGGTAGTTATTCCATTTAGCTCTTATAAATTTTTGCACACATGGAATCTGAGAATATTCATTAGTAATAAAATTACTCAACTTCATAGAAGTCACACATAGGCAATCAAAACCATCCATTATATGCATACAATGATATTCATATAAATTTAGTTAATAACATGATAAAGTCATGATGTAGATGGTTAAACTCATATCAAATGCATAGAATTTTGGGACATTTATTATGTTATCAACATCTCCCAGCTTAACTCATTATTAGTCCATTAGCAATGCCTTTTTCTCCTTGGGTCATCCATCTATCCTTGAAGCAAAAAGACACAAGTATGAAGTGATTAGAGTATCCATCACACCTCTAAGTATGAATATCCCCATAAAATGTTGAGCACCCATTGCCAATTCCTTTATGGCATTGGAAAGAGCTAGTGGTCATGAGGAGGGAAGTTTACTTTTCTTCAGGTATGATACTATCATTGTGAAAAGTTCTCACCATCTAAGTGAAAAGTGGCCCTCATATCTTTCACCAGCAGGGTTTCTCTCGCTAAGTGCGTGGCTACTCAATGTCAAGAGATCCCCACTAGGCTTCCTTCCACTTGAAAGTCTAAAGCAGTCACTCTTCTCCTCTCATTTTAGCATAGAATGTCAAATGTGTACCAAGAGAGTAAATTGTTAGGTGAAGATAAACTCGAGTGTGGGTAACTATAGGTAAAAGAGAGAAGAGAAATGACGAATGGCACAAAAGAAAAGGTGCAGGGTTAATAAAAATGGGGGGTGACAAAGAGGTACATGTTACTTAAAATAGCTTCCTCCCAAGGATAGACAAATGAGCAGAATATACTAGAAAGGCATAGAATCTCCTCACAATAGTGGATGAAATAGAAATGAATCTACATAAAGCAAGGGATGATGAAGACGACCAACAACTTCTATGAAAAACTATGGCAATGAAACATGAGACAAACAAAACCTCATATATATATTGGTTTTCTTTTCTGTTTTTTCGATTTTCTTTAATTTCTTTTTTACAGGGGTGAACGAAGTAAGTACACTACATAGGAGATTTAACTTTTCATAAAATAAGGAAATATTGGTCTAATGTGATGCTCTTAATGTATAAGAGGGCCTGCGCAACAGTTGTGTCATGGCCTTTATAATATATTTCAATCAAAATGCCCTTGCCATGTAGAGATGATTTCCCATAACAAAGAGGGAATTAAATAGTAATTGTGCACAACATCAAGAGTTTCTTGCAATCAGGATGAAAATAGGCCATCCCATGCTAATGAAAAGAAGATAAAATGGGATGAAGAGATTTGAAAGAAACAAAGAAGTAGATAATAAAGAAAATATATCATAAAGAAATGACATCACAAAGGAGAAGAAGAGAAAGGCTTGAGAGTTGAGCATTGTTATTTTATTTTATTTTTTTAACTTGTAGAATAAATATGAGATATATTGCTAATTTTAAAAGTTTGAAGTTAAGATACAGTGTAATTTTTAATTATTATATAAATAAAAATAAAATATAAAAAAATCTTCTACTCGCTAGCAAGTTGGCACTTGGCAATCGACCTAGAGGGGGCTGCAGTTGAGCAAGTAGACCCACACTAGGGAACCATGAGCTGGGCTTGAGTGGTGAAGGCCTCACTCTGCACATGTATATGTCACTCCCCTTCCTCGTTCTGGTGATCAATTGGTCATGGGGAAAGGAGTGCCTATAGACACATGTGCATGTGAGGGCGGACCACCTTTTTACCTTCTCCCAAGATGATTCTGGGCATTATTTTATTTGAAGAGAAGAGATCTCTACTAAGAGAGAGAAACTTTGATTTATATTCAACTTAAACGATGAAAAACTTCTGATGTGGGAATAATCATTTTCATTTGTTTCAACGTAGTCATTTGGAGCATGGTGTGATCTAGCAGTACATACCAAGCCATGTCAATAGATTTAGCTAGATTTTGTGGCTAGCAAATTGCCATGATATCAAATGTGTAAAGCAATCCATCAGTGGTTCACGAATCTAACGTCACTTAACATGCACATGGCCTCAAAGGATGATCCAATGGCTAAGGAGGCACCACAATACCAAGAACTTAAGTTCCCAATCGGTAGTGTTTTGCAGTGGGTTGATTTTGTGTCGCTCATTGTGTCATGTGACCAAGCTCATTTTGATCTAGTGGCTTGTAGAGTGTCACAATACTAGAACTTAAGTTCTTGCACATATTACTATCAGGAATATAAAGACAATAATCAATTATTATCTAGTAAAATAGACATTATTGATTATCTTTAAAATCCTAACAATAGTTGTAAATATAGTAGGCCATTCTTCCCTCCTTTTGCACAATTTACGTTTTCAACAATCGGCAAGCTCATTCCTTCTTTCCCCAACTGCACTTAAGGCCTCAAGTGAGTAGTCTGCTCCCCCTAGATGATAGTGATAGCGTGGTCGACCCCTCTTTCGATAGGTCTCTCTAGCAAGTGACGTAGTACTTTCGGACGATTCTTCTGTGGCTTTTGGCGTGGTGTGGCAGTTTGGATGAAATCAAGCCACCACACTGGTGCCTCTAATTGCCCAGGAGATAGACTAAATTTAGGCAATGATTTATTTCTTACTTTCACCATTTACTTACTTTGGTCATTTATTTATATTTTACAGCAAGTTCTTTCCATTTCATACACATTTTGATTGAAATGAATAGAATTAATTCAAAACTTGATGAATAATCTTCATTCTTCTACTAAATCCTTTGAAACTTGTTTGAGATCAAGCTAAGATTATTTCTAACTTATTTTTTATTAATTTTCATAGTCAAATTTTGGTGTATTCATATTCTCGATGTTCCGTGAATAAAGAGTATTTTTCTATTTTCGAACATGAAATCATTGACATTAAAGCCTACTTAATGATTGTTCAACAGTTAAAATAATGTGGAGACATTCACGACTAACCTCATGTCATGTGTGTGCATCCTCGAGCACACATTTGTCTGAGAAAATGAGTTCACCATATTTCTCTTTTTCTTCAATTTCATCTTATTTCTCTCTCCCTCTCTCGTGAGACCTCTCTTCTCTCTCCATCTCTTATGAGATCTCTACCTTTCTCTTCCTTTCCTTCTCTCTCTCTCTCATGAGACTTTTCTCTCTCTCTATCTCACATGAGATTTCTCTCCTCCTCTCTCTTTCTCTCTCTTTTGTGAGAGACCACATCCTTTCTCACTCTCGTGAGAGCTTTCTTTTCCTCCTCTCCCTTTTGCGAGAGATCTCATCCCTTCTCTCTCTCGTGAGAGCTCTCTCCTACTCCCTCTTTCTCTCCCTTTCACAAGAGATCTCATCCCTTTTCCCTCTTGTGAGAGCTCTCTCTTCTCTCTCTCTTCTCTCTCTATTTTCTTCCTTCTTTTTTCTGCTTCCCTTCCTTTATTTTTCTTGCCTTACTCTTTTATTTTTTTTATTTCTATTAAATATTAATAAAATATTTAAATCTCTTTATATATAAACTAAATTAGTTTTCATGACGGATTAATCAATCTCCTTTTATTCAAATTGAGACTTACTTCTAAATATTATTAGATAGTGTGTATTTAAACACAACAACAAGTGCACAACAAGCATATCATAAGTAACATGGGAAATAGATGAATGATGGGTTCTTATAAACAGTAATAGGTATAGAGGACAAAGAAAGTGAGTACTAAGTAATGATGTGAAGTTGGTACACATAATTTCTAAGTACAACTTTAGGGAGCTTGATGTGACTTAGTCATTGTAAAGTAAATCATGTAAATTTAAAATTTATACAACTAGAAAATATAAATTTTCAGATATTTAGAAGTATTTCTGAACAAATATATCAAGTATAATTCAATATAACTTCCAAAAATAGTGGTAATTTTTTAGGTCAATCACAAGGATGTAATATAATATCTGGTAATTATTCATAAATTTTTCCAAACAATACTATTTTCTATGAATTTTATACTAAGAAATGAAAAGAAAATATATTTAAAATTCACGAAAAAGGGAAATAAGGGTTCGGATCTCAAGATGATGTTAGTGCCCGGCAAACGCGAATCGAGCAGAAATAGAGTTCCCCCCGATGATTCTTATGTAAGTGATTATAGATGATTTAATTGATCAAATTAAGATCTTTAAAAGCCGAAAGAATCGTAATAAATGAAGTATATCTTGATAAATTTAAAATTAATAAATTATCACTAAATGTAATGAAAATTAAGTTGAAAGTAGGAAAATAGAGTTCCAACATTATGGCGGCGATGCGTCAGTAATGCACCGGAATCTTGAGCATTCGGGAGGATCGTTGTGCAGTGTCTACAGCCTCGAAGGCACTCCTTGGACAAGGATGACGTGGGCAATCTTTAGATCTCCTTGTGAAGTCTAGAGATCAATGAAATGGGTCGTCAAATCATCTCTGGTGGCTGTCACCCGACGAAGTGGAAAAACAACAATTTTATGACTCTTCGACGGTTGTCATCCGATGGAGAGGAGCTAGATGGAGGTGGGGCGCGTGTCAAGGAGCTTCATCCTCAAATGCACGTAGCAAGAGGAGGCTCTTCATCGCATCCAGTATGCTCTTAGGAGGTTGCGACTCATCTCCTAGCAGATCATCCTCTTCCCGATGACAGCTTATTCGTTGATCAATTAGAGATACTTTACTCAATGGATTCGTGATTTTTTTATCACAAATCGTTCAGCAATTTTAGTAACAATGCTCCGTGAATCACGTTGACAAGATTATCACCGATGATCTAGCGATTCTAGTTGCTTAATCCTTCACCGGTGATCTGCAAGAAAGTCGCAATAATTAGATAAAAAAATATAAATTTTGGTTCTAAGAGGATTCGAATCCGCGTCGGTTGCCCCCTGCCCGCCTTCTGAGGAAGGTGACTGGGTTTAGTCCCACATTAGTTGTGTGCCAAATTTTTTGGTGAATATATAGTAATGTTAGATTTATAAGTAAGTCCATTCTCTCGCATGTACGACCACTCCTTGCCGCACAGCTGGCTGGCCACTGGTGACGTGGAAAGGGAGTGGCGCACACGTGCCTCTATCGGTCCAAGCCGCTCGAGCCCCTACTCGCGGCTACTCCCCCACTATGCTTCCGACCCACTCGCAGGCCCGACTGGTCGACAGATCCCCCCATTTTACAATATTTTTATTTTTATTTCTTTTTCTTCATTTATCTCAAAAGTAAGACTACAAAAAATCATATAAATTCGTATAAAATCACATAGTTACCCAAAAGTTCATGTTAATCAATTGAAAACCAATTTTCACACTTTAACACAAATATAAGTCTATTTATCATGAGTTAAGGCTAAAACTATATTATTTATTAATTATTAACTCATGATAATGAAGACTTATCAGAGCTCAAAGGAAGATAATTCTATGCTTGAGACTTGAAGAGATGACTACTTCTCCCAAATGAAGACTTCACCTAATGACGATTCTAGACACATGAGTAGGATCATGTTAATGCTAGATTTATTTGTTTTAATTAGTTTTATTATTTGATTTTATTTTGTTAACTTATAGAATAAATAAAGGATATATTGTTAATTAAAAAGTCTAAAGTTAGAATACTTAGCATAATTTTTTATTATTAAAATAAAAATAATAAATATAAAAAAATTCCACTCATTGGCAAGCCAACACTCAGCAACTGACCCAAAGGGAGGATAGTGGTCAAACGGGTAGACCTAGATTGGGGGAGGCACGAGCTAAGGTCAAGTGACGAAGGCCTCGCTCCATGCACATGTGTCACTCCCCTTCCATGTCTCGGTGGCCAATTGACCATGGGGCAAGGAGTGCACATACACATGTGAGCGCATGAAGGCAGACCACCTTATTTTAGGAGAAGGGATCTCTACTAAGAGATTGTAGCTTTAGTTTATATTCAGCATATGTCCCAAAATATTTCTGATGTGGGACTAAACATTTTCATCTGTTATAGCATAGCCATTTGGAGCATGGTGTCATCTAGTGGTACATAGAGAGCCATGTCATCAGATTAGTTAGATCCTATGGCTAGCAAACCGCCATAATACCAGCTGTGTAAAGTGATCCATTGGTGCTTCGCAAATCCAATGCCGCTCAGCATGCACGTGGCCTTAAAGGTTGATCTGATAGCTATAGAGGTGCCATGGTAACAGAACTTAAGTTCCCAATTAGCAATGGTTCGCAGCAGGTTGATCCTACATGCATGTGGTCAAGCTCATCTAATCTTGCGGCTCACAGAGCACTATTATATTAGGAACTTATGTTTTCACACATATCACCATTGGGAATATAAAGATAATAATCAATTATTATCTGGTAAAATAAACATTATCGATTATCTTCAAAATTCCGATGGTAGTCACGAATATGACAATCCGTTTTTCCTTCCTTTTGTGCAATCGATGTCTTCAACAATGACCAAACTTCTTCCTTCCTTCCCCAACTGCACTCAAGGACTTTGATGAGTGGTCAGCTCTTCCTTTCTCCCCTCACACGATGATGATAGTGTGGCCGACCTTGATAAGTCTTCATTATCATGAGTTAATAATTAGTAAATAATATAGTTTTAGCCTTAACTCATGATAAATTGGCTTATATTTGTGTTAAAGTGTGAAAAGTGGTTTTCAATTGATTAACATGAATTTTTTGATAATTACGTAATTTTATACAAATTTATATGATTTTTATAATCTTACTCTTGAGATAAATGAAGAAAAAGAAATAAAAATAAAAATAAAACAAAATAGAGAGGGGACCCGCAAGCGGGTCGAAAGTGCAGTCGAGGAGTAGCCACGAGCAAGGGCTCGAGCAGCTTAGACCAAATAGGGGCAGATGTGCGTCACTCCCCTTCCATGTCACTGGTGGCCAGCCGGTTGTGGGGCAAAGAGTGATCGTACATGCGCGAGAAAGGGACTTGATTGAAAATGTAATATTATTATATATTTGCAAGAAACATTGGTGCACAAGCAATGTGGGACTAAACCCGCGTCACACCTTCCCAAGAAAGGGGTGGGCAATTGGCACATGTTCAAATCCTCCTAAAACAAAAACTCATATTTTTTTATCTAATTATCGTGACTTTCTTGCATATCGTCGATGAAGGATTAAACATTCAGAATTGCTAGATCATTGGCGAAAATTTCGTCAACATGATTCGTGGAGCATTATTACTAAAATTTATGAATGAGTCGTGATAAAAGGATCACGAATTCATCGAGTAAAGCATCTCCGATTGATCGATGAACAAGTCGTCGTCCGGAAGAGGACGATCTTTCAAGAGACGAGTCACCACATCCTAAGAGCATACTAGATGTGATGAAGAGCCTCCTCTGGCTATGCAAACTTGAGGATGAAGCTCCCTGACATGCACCCCACCTCCATCCAACTCTTCTTCATTGGGTGACAACTGCCGAAAAGCTGCAAAGTCACAATTTTTTTGCTCCGCTAGGTGACAACTGCCGGAGACGATTCGACAACCTATTTCATTCATTTCTAGACTTTGCAAGGAGATCTAGAGATTGCCCACATCATCCTTGTCTAAGGAGAGCCCTCGAGGCCATGGGCACTAAACGACGATCCTTCCGAACACTCAAGATTCCAGTGCATTGCCGACGCATCGCCACAGCGACGCCAAAACTTTGTTTTCTTACTTTCAACTTAATTTTTACTTCATTTAGTGATAATTTATGTGATTTAAATTTATCAAAATATTCTTCATTCAATTATAATTCTTTTGACTTTTACAAATCTTAATTTGATCAATTAAATCGTCTATAATCGCTTATGTAAGAATCATTGGGCAAAACTTTGTTTCTGCTTGATTCACGTTCGCTGGGTGCTGACATCATCCTGACATCTGCATCTTGACATCACCCTTATTTTAAGAATTTTAAAATATATAGTTTTTTTTATTTTTTAATCTAAAATAAAAAACATATTCTTTGAGAAAAATTTTGAAATATTATCCAACATTATATTACCTCTCTATAATTGACTTGAAAAATTATCATATTTTTAAACTTTTATTAAATTTTAAGTGATATAGTTAATTAGAAATATTTGTAAATATCTAAAAATTTGTATTTTCTAGTTTTATAAATTTTAAATATGTGTGATTTACTATACAATGGATAAGTCACATCAAATTTTCTATGCATACCCTCCATCTTGTGGTTGGTCTTGTTTGAAATTCCTCACCCTGGTCATTCTTCTACATCATAATTTCAAATTTTTTAGGTACAACATGAATATGGCTCACCCAAGGGCTGTCAAAAATAGTGTAAATGAAACCTGCATTCAACCACTTAATAATTTCATTTTTAACCACTTCAAAGATATGAGGATTAAGGTGTCTCTAGGCTTCCCTAGTTGGCTTAATATTCTCATCAATAAAAATTTTGTGCTCACATATATCTTTACTAATCCCATGAATATCATCAATAGATCAGCCGATTGCAAATTTATGTAATTTAAGAATTTTTAACAAAGCCATTTCTTGATCGAAAGATAAATGAGATGAAATGATGACAAGATAAGTTCTATGAGGACCTAAGAATGCATATTTGAGAGAGCTAGGTAAAGGTTTTGAGTTTGAATCTAGAAGTATAGAGATAAAGTAGAGAATCAACATTTAAATCATGTATGTCCTTTACCTCTTCATGAGGAGTAATTAAATTCCAAAGGGCTGAATGCCTCTCAAATTCTTCTTCATCAATGAAATCACACACACATATTCTCACTAGCATTTTCAAGAAATTTTAGAAGCTTAGAAATTTGAATTTCAATCTTCTCCTTACCCACTTTGAATTCTACTGTCCCCTTGCCCTAATTAGTAGTGGCTTGGACTGTAGCTAAGAAAGGTCTCCCTAAAATTATGGGCGCTTGGCTCAAATTTTCTATAACCTTCATATCAGCTACGAGGAAGTCAATAAGAAAACAACTTTCTACTTTCACAATCACATCTTCTAGCCTCCCATATGGTTGTCTAATGGACCCATCTACAAACTAAAACAAATAGGCTCCAATTCTCCAAACTTAAATTTGTCATCAATAACCTTTGACATGATATTGACACTAGCTCTTGTATCTAAAAGGGATTTACTAAAAATTATACTCCAAATTTCACATGTAATTAGTGTGGCTCCTAGATCTCTTTTCTTCTTAGAAATTTGATTCAATAATATAGAACTAATGCATTGAGATAATTCAATTCTCTTCTATTTTTTAGATGGAGTACAAAGATTTTTTAAAAACTTAGAATAAGGAATATTCTAAATAGCATCAATTAAAAGAATAGTGATGATCACTTCAAAAATTTTAAGTGACTATCACTAGGAGGAACTCTTGATGATTTTAAAGCTTGAGGATATGGAATAGGGGGCACATAATTTTTTGAATTAGGTTTTTAATGAATTCGGTTTTTTGTAGGTTCTACTAGGTCATCTACTCTATCATCCTCCTCAACCTCAAGTTCTACTAAAGTTTTCTACTCATATGGATCAAGTAACTCCTTTTCACTTTTCAACATTAAAATGACAATTATATATCTATTCTAATCACTAAATTTAGCAATTGAAACATCATCATATGATAGATTGACATGACTTAGTCATTGTATAGTAAATCACATAAATTTCAAAAATTTCAAAACTAAATAATATTAATTTTCAGATATTTAGAAGTATTTCTCAACAAATATATCAATTATAATTCAATAAAACTTCTAAAAATAGTGGTAATTTTCTAGGTCAATATCAAGTAATTTTTTTGAACTTTTCTCAAAGAATATAATTTTTTATGAATTTAATACTAAGAAATGAAAAAAAAATATATTTAAAATTTATGAAAAAGAAAAATAAGGGTGCAGATGTCAAGATGACGTCAACGCCTGACGAATGTGAATTGGACAAAAAAAGAGTTTTGCCTGCCTGATGATTCTTACGTAAATGATTATAGACAATTTAATTGATCAAATTAAGATTTATAAAAGTTAGAAGAATTGTAATTAAATGAAGTATAACTTGGTAAATTTAAATCACACAGTTTATCATTAAATGAAGTAAAAATTAAGGCTAAAGTAAGAAAATAAAGTTATGGTGTCACGACAGTAATGCATTAGTCATCGAAAATTCTAATTATTTAAGAGAATTGTTATGCAATGTCTACGGCCTCGAAGGCTCTCCTTTAACAAGGACGACATGAGTAATCTGAAGATCTTCTTGCGAAGTCTAGAGATCAATGAAATGGGTTGTCGAATCATCTCTAGTGACTGTCACTCGGTGGAGTGGAAAAATGATGACTTTGCAGCTCTTTGGCAGCTTTCACCCGACAAAGAGGAATTGGATGGAAGTGGGGCCCATGTTAGGGAGCTTCATCCTCAGGTTTGCACAACAAGAGGAGGCTTTCATCACATCTAGTACACTCTGAGGAGGTGGCGACACGTCTCTTAGTGGATCGTCCTCTTCTTGACAATGGCTTGTTTGTCGACCAATTAAAGATGATTTACTCAATTGATTAGCGATCCTTTTATGATGAATCATTCAACATTTTAGTAACAATGCTCCGCGAATTATGTTGACAAGATTTTCATCGATGATCAAGCGATTTTGGTGACTTAATCCTTCATTGGTGATCTACAAGAAAGTTGTGATAATTAGATAAAAATATGAGTTTTGGCTTTGAGAGGATTTGAACCCACATCAATTGCTTGCTTGCATGAGAGATATTGAAATAAGTACTCTAATGTTTTGATCAAGTGACATCATCATAGTATATCTTTGTTACAACTAAGGGGTAGTTTAGGTATTAAAATCTTCAAAGCCTTTCAAGGAAGGCGTGACGCGAGTTTAGTCCCACATTGCTTGTGCATCAAAGTTTTCGATGAATATAGAGTAATATCACATTTGCAAGTAATGAGTCCATTTCTCTTGTGTGTATGGCCACTCCTTGCCCCATAGCCGACTGACGTGACTCAGTCGTTGTATATCACGCAAATATAAAATTTATAAAACTAGAAAATATGAATTTTCGGATATTTAGAAGTATTTCTAAATAAATATATCAATTATAATTCAATAAAACTTCCAAAAATAGCGATAATTTTCTAAGTCGATCACAGAAGTGTAATATAATATCTGGTAATTATTCAGAATTTTTCTTAATGAATACAATTTTCTATGAATTTTACACTAGGAAATAAAAAGGAAATATATTTAAAATTCACGAAAAAGGGAAATAAAGGTGCAGATGTCGGGATGACGTCAGTGCCCAGCGAATGCGAATTGGGTGGAAATAGAGTTCCGCCTGACAATTCTTGCGTAAGTGATTATAGATGATTTAATTAATCAAATTAAGATCTGTAAAAGCCGGAAAAATCGTAATAGACCAAAGTATACTTTGGTAACTTAAAAACACAAAAATTATCACTAAATGAAGCGTAAAGTAAATTAAAAGCAGGAAAACAGAGTTCTGGCGTCGCGACGACGATGCGTTGGTGATGCACTAGAATCCTAAGTGTTCGGGAGGATCATTGTGCAGTGTCCACGACCTCGAAGGCTCTCCTTGGACAAAGACGACGTGGGCAATCTCTAGATCTTCTCGCAAAGTCTAGAGATCAATGAAGTGGGTCGTCAAATCGTCTCTGGCTGCTGTCACCCGGCAGAACGGAAAAACGGTGACTTTGCGACTCTCCGATGGCTGTCACCTGACGGAGAGGAGCTAGATGGAGGTGGGGTGCGTGTTAGGGAGCTTCATCCTCAGGTCCGCGCAGCAAGAGGAGGCTCTTCATCGCAACTAGTACGCTCTCAAGAGGTGGCGACTCATCTCCCGATGGATCGTCCTCTTCTCGACGACAGCTTGTTTGTCAATCAATTGGAGATGATTTACTCGATGGATTTGCGATCCTTTTATTGCGAATCGTTTAGTAATTTTAGTAGCAATGCTCTGTGAATCGCGTTGATGAGATTTTTGCCGATGATCTAGCGATTCTCATTGCTTAATCCTTCAACAGCGATCTGTAGGAAAGTTGCGATAATCAGATAAAAATATATGAATTTTGACTCTAGGAGGATTCAAACCTGCACTGGTTGCCCGCCTCTAAGGAAGGTGTGACGCGGGTTTAGTCCCACATCGGTTGTGCGCCGATTTTTCAGGCAAATATATAGTAATGTTAGCTTTTTAAGCAAAGTCTCTTCTCTTGCATGTACGACCACTCCTTGCCCCACAGCCGGCTGGCCACTAGTGACGTGGAAGGGGAGTGGCGCACAGCACACGTGCCCCTATTGGTCCAAGCTAAGCCGCTGAGCCCCTGCTCGCGGCTACTTCCTGACTGTGCTTCCAACCCGCTTGCAGGCCCGACTAGCCGGCGGGTCCCCTCATTTTGTAATATTTTTATTTTTCTTTCTTATTCTTCATTTATCTCAAAAGTAAGACTATAAAAATCGTATAAAATCACATAATTACCCAAAAATTCACGTTAATCAACTGAAAACCACAAATGATAATTTAACATAAATATAAGTCTATTTATCATGAGTTAAGGCTAAAACTATATTATTTACTAATTACTAACTCATGATAATGAAGACTTATCACCGACTAGCCATTAGTGATGTGGAAGGGGAGTGCCACACACATGCCCCCATCAGTCCTAGCCGCCCGAGCCCCTACTCGCGGCTCCCTTCAACTATGCTTCCAACCTGCTTATGGGCCTGGCTGGTTGGCAATCCCCCCTTTTGCTATATTTTAATTTTAATTTTTTTCTTCATTTATCTCAAAAAAGGGAATATAAAAATTATATAAATTTATAGAAAATCACATAATTAGCCAAATATTCACATTAATCAACTGAAAACCACTTTTCATAATTTAACATAAATATAAGCCTATTTATCATGAGTTAAGGCTAAAATTATATTATTTACTAATTATTAACTCATAATACTAAAGACTTATCACATCCTCCAACTTAAATCATTGTTAGTCCCTTAGTAATAGAATTATGAAAATAAAAATTCACAAATCTCAAACATCATATTTCAATACTTAAAAAAAATACCATTAGAAATGATGCACTTTTAGACACTTTAAATTCTTATATCAAGTATTTAAGAATGATGTCAAGCACTTAAATATTTAACTACTCCTTGGATTAACAATCTAGACTTCACTTCTTCTGTTCATATTTTTATCACTTCTTCACTCATAGATATATTAAATACAATTACAAGATGTTCTAATTATTAATATTCATCCAAGAATAATATTGGTCTTATATTTAAACTTTTCTATAACTTAATTTTTGAAGTAGCTTTTCCTGTAGATGAATTTCGATAATAAGAATGATGTCTCACATCCTCCATGTGTACTCTTCATTTTTAGGGTTTTCACTTTATCTACTTATTTTATAACAAGTGTTTTTCTATGCACAATTTTTGATAATGACAATGATGTCACACACCCTCCATGTGTATCTTTTGTTTTTAGAATTTTCACATTGGTCTCTCTTTTTTTTTTTTAAATAAGTGATTTCACCTCACAAGTCCTATAGATCAAGGTGCACAAGATCATAAATGATCAATCAAATTTTTACAACAAGTAAATACTATCCATCAAGATCATGAAATGAAAATCTGTAAAATCAAATCTATGTTATCTATCATGTAACCAAAGAGTATTCTATTTCATGCTACTAAATCATTCTTTTAACTCAGTAATAATTTTCTTAATATCTTTTGATATCAATCAATCTAATTGATTTAATTTTTCTTGCATGTAATATGATGTAAGTAATTTTTAAATAAGATAGTTCTGACAATTTTGCTTTCTACTTTCAGTTCTATTTTCAGTTCTATTTTTAGCAATAATGTCTAAGGGATTGAAATGTGAGAAAAGGGTCAATAGAATTTCGAATTTCAGGCTATTTTTTCTCTACTATTTTTGACAATCTGTTGTTCCTAACAGAAAACAAAAAAATAGATGTTATAGTTTTTTTGACTTTTTTTTTAGTTGTTGTTCTAAGTGTGCATGAAAAAAATGTAAACGCATATTCTTAATCATCTTACAGTATAAATTAAGAATTAATACCTTTATCCCCCAACTTAAAAATGATGTCCTCAATGACATAGAAAAATCAAAACATAATATGTAGAAAATATAATTTTCAAATGAAGCATGCATATATGTAAAGTTCAGCACTGAAAATATTTTCATAAATGATAAAGCTTAGAAAGACATCACCTTGATGAGACTAAATCGTATGGTCGTTGAATGCACACGATTCAGTGTCAAAACAAAGTCCTAATCTTACTAATTTATGATTAGTCAAAGTAATTAATTAGTGTAATGGTAATTAAGGGTTGAATCCACGGAGAATTAGGGAAATTTGAGAGATATCTTTGAAATTCGGTCAAATCAGACGATGAAATTAGGTTAGAAATTCGACAATTTAGTATATTAAGAAAGATAACTCAATTTCGAATCCACGGAATCAAAAATCAGCTGATTTGGATGAGAATTCGAAGAGTAATCGAAGTTTGAAGTTAAGAGAAATTTTCGTATCGCGAAATGATTAAAAACAGAAATTAAAACAAAATTAAACTTAATCTACAATACTTAAAGTAAAATTAACACTAAATGATGAAAGATTAAGATGAAAAAAAACAATATAACCCAAATTAGCCTTCGAAATGATCCAATTAATCGCCGGATGCAAGGCTTTTCATTCCGAATTTTCGAAGACGAAAGAGGAGTTCAAGACTTGATTTCTTCCAACTCTTTCAATCAAACATTGAAATTAAACATCCAAAAGAAGAGGAAATGAGTTGCAAACACAATGGAAAAGATGGCGCGCGAATTGGAGCTCTAAACAAAGAGAATTTGAAGATTGATCGCGGCAGTTCTTCCGTCGCGAAGAACGTATTTTATAAAATTTGGAAATGATCGTGGCCGTCCAATCTGATGGAGTTGATCGCGATGGGCGATCGCGTTGAGACGCTTCTTCACGAATCGTCGCGACGATTCGACGATCGTCCGATCGTGATCGTGCGGTTAAGATGTGATTGGATGTCCATCTGATGTGAATAATCTGGACCGTTATAACTCTCGATCAGACGGTCGCGATGTATTCACTTAAGAGAGTATTTAGGCACGTGGTTGATCTCTGATCGCGTGGACTTCGGTTCCACGTGATCTACGCACGTTATTTGTCGCGATGTCGATCGGACGCACGAATTCATGCCACGCGTCCTGCACATAAGAAAACTAAGGGACTTTAGTCCCACACGGGAGAAACAAAGGAATTTATTCGGGTATATAAGATATGACGATTAAGAGGGATTAATACTTTGTCTTCCGATAATCGGAAGACCTATATACTTTATTAAATAAATATATATAGTAACTATAAATACGCCACGTGTCACATCAGCGCCACGCAGACGCCCCCGTGCTGTCCACGTGGCATATCCACGTGGCCCCGAGTGCCCCGTCGCATCCACGTGTACACGCGCGACATATAACCCCCTTTTTTGCGATTTTTTAATTAATTTAAAACATTAAAAATCGAAAATAAATAAATTCAGAAAAATTTCAGAAAATTCTGTAAAATTGTAAAAATTATAACTTTCAAAATACAACTCCAAATTAATTCAATTTTTTTTTTTTGGATTCAAAATTGAATAATCTATCATTATAAAAGGTCAAATTATTAAAATAAGAAGAGAATAAATTTGAATTAATTTTATACATTTATGTATTATATAAAATAAATTTAAATAAATACATAAATGTTAATAAATATCTTTTCTCTCATCTTTTCACTCTTAAAACATGATTATGATCATAAATATAATTAGGATTAAAGATTATAATGTGTAATTATTTATAATAATCCATAATTTGATGTATTTTAAGATCACAACATGGATTTACACAAAATGATAGAAATATACTTAAAATATGATAACATGCATATATTTGTAATGATTAATGCCTTAATTTGCATTAATATTATATAATTACATGCATAAATAGCATGTTATCACACCTCAACCTCATTTTTAATTTTCTACTTCATCTCATACTCTTGCACTTTTTTTCAAGAAAAAAAACAAATATAGAAACAAGTATTGCAAAATTTTAAGAAAAATAGAGCTTAAAAAACAAAATTAAATAAAGACCATGAGTTGCCTCTCATGTAGTGTTGAATTTAATGTCTCTAGCTAGACATATTAATTTTATTCTTGAATTTATTTTAATAATAAAATTACTTTTTTTACAAGGTGTTCATGTTCTATGTAATGTTTAAGCCACTGTCAATTTATCTTAAAGTGATTATAACTTTTAGGATCTTTAATCATTATAGCCCCATGATTATGTCTCTTCTACCGCATAAGGCCCTATTCATTTTGATTTTAATTTTTCTAGGAACAATTTCGGCCTAAAATCATATAACCACACTTTTTGTCTAACATCAATTTTTTTTATACTACTGTACTTATCATGAAAAGTTTTAATTTTTCTTTTATATATTCTATGATTTTCATAAGCTTCATTCCTCAACTCCTCTAGCTTATGTAACTGAAAAAGTTTATGCCCACCTACTGATTTTTCATCCATACATAAATTCTTTATAGCCCATAATACTTTATGTTCTATTTCCACAAAAAGATGACATGGCTTTTCCAAAAATGAGATAAAATGAGGACATACCTATAGGATTTTTATAAGCTATTCTATAAGCCCATAATACATCTTATAATTTTGTGGGTCAATCTTTCCTATTTGGTCTAACTTTTT